GCATCAGCGTGCCATAATTTGAAGTAGGTTGGTTTCGTTTCGGGTCGATGTGCGGGTTACTTGGGTCTACCTTCAAATATTCACTTGAATGACAGTGATGAATGGATGTATACTCTTTCATCAGAATCATATTTGAATAATTTCATCTTTTGACTGAATAGTTATCAAATTTGTGACCAAAAACACAACTTAAATGTGTCGGAACCATGTGTCTTACCCCCCCCCCCCCCCCCCCACTGAGCGACTTTTCGGCCGGCGCGATTTTCAAATTTTACTGAGTCGTTGCGAAATTTTGGGCCCGATTTTAACCCCCCCCCCCCCCCCCCTTGAAAAAAATCCTGCGTACGCCACTGGTCGGAACGGTAGGACAAATCATCTGAATTATGGCACAGAACTTGAATGTTAATCTTGTTCACAGAGCTTCATTGCTAGAAATGTATTTTCAAATATCAACACAATCCATTACAAAGCAAAACATAACTACGAGAGAATTACGCATTTATCTTAGCATGATATTCTAAACACAAGTTTAAAATGTGAGCAGTCGGAATTATTCCATCAAAATATAGTAAAACATACCTCTGTGAAGATGAAGATCTTTTTGGTGTGTAGATTGCTTCTTCATCCCCTCATGAAAATCTAATGTTAGATCTTTTCGCCTTTCTCTGTAAAAAAAAAAAAAAAAAAAAAAAGACCAGCAGACAAAAGAAAATCTAAATTTCAAGAAAATGTGGATCTTTATTTCCAATAATGGACCAAAAAAGTGCTGTTTTGATTTCAGATAAAATGTTAGATTCATTAATCAGCAACCGTCGAGGCACAGTATTAAAGAAAGGTGTAGATTCTAGGCATGTGATTAAATTTATTTAAACTTATTTCACCCTATCCCCTATACCCAGTTTGCTTTATTATATAAATTATTTATCAATTTCAGTCGACAAAATAATATCAATGCAAAATTATCACCCTGACCTGACCCTGATATGATATTGGTACTGATTTATCTCACCAATACTCCTAGTTCCTGCTCGTGATGACTGTTGATTTTTTTAAAGTGTGATTTAAGAATATTTTACCTCGCTACTTGAACGGCGCTCACAATCGCAAGTAAGCACACGAAAACACTGAGAGATGCAAGCATTAGAAACGGAAGTGACATCACTGGCATCCATGTCTGCCCGACTATGATCTTAAAGTCTTCCTCTACGACGATCATGGAAACATTATGGGGTACAACTGATGTATTCGGTAGGTTCATTGTGCAAGATAGCCCGTTTATCTAAGGAGAGAAACAAAAGGCCAGAGAGAGTGAATTAATCGGGAATTGCATTTGAAATATGGAGTTCATGCACGTGATATAGATAGGGTACCCCCCGCTCCACCTGTGACCTATAGCCTGCTGCAGCCTACTACCTGATGTCTGCCTCACGTCATCTCACTCACTCCAATATCCAAGATGATTAAGTCTCTATATCAAAGAGAACGTAAAGTCATTATACGCATAAAGTACCTCCACTTACCTTAAAATTAAACTTAAAAAGTAGCTTTGGTTATTATTTGTTATCCTTGATACCAAAGAGAAATTTTAAGGAGAACCACATTGAAATGGAATTTTAATTTAAATGGGTATTCCATGCCCAGGGTACCCCCCCCCCCCCGATTCGCACCTGCAACCTCTCGGCAACCACACTACTTTCTGCTCCCCCCCCCCCCCTTCCGCCCGTCTTGCAGAATGGACCCCTTAAAGGATGCCGTTAGGACCACTACTATCAGCATTTTCTTGTAAGTTGTCCCGAGATAGGGGAACCATGCATACTATTCATTTAGTGATCATGATTTCTTTTCACTCCACACACTGCTGTTTTGTAAAATAGTTATTAATAATGTTATATAAAAACTGGAAGTGATCATCTAATTGATCAACGGAGATATCCACAGGCGTGCACATTGACCCTGGGACCGTAAGCAATAAGACCAAAGAGATTCGATCATACAATGATAATCACTGTAGATATAGATTTACTGCCAGATTGAAATGAAGATATTTACAAATCCACTTCAGATGTAACGATAGAGTAAATCGAAATATGAAACATGAAATCAAATTTACCAATCCTTTGAAAAAAAGCAGCACAATCTGACAGGCCTTCTTCCGTGTTTTTTCCCCTTATAAAACAAGAACTCATTTTGTGATCGCGCAGAGGAGATTTGCGCTGAAGGTGCGCGCAATACAACAAATAATGAGAGCGCGAGAAAGGTGGGGAGGGGTGACGTGGGTATATGGGCGGGGCGCATCTTTTTAAAACCTAACCTTGCCACGCTGCCCTGCATATTAATATTTGAATATATGAATATTTGCGTTGGTACGGTGTGGTGGAGATCAAAATTAAATCGGCCAGATTTTGGACTTAACCAGTATTTCGCAATGATTAAGGACAATTTATTTATTTATTTTATTTATTTATATATGCATGTTCACAATTTCACAATTCATTGAAGTTAACATCACATGAAAAATGAATATAATATAACAAATCATTTCAATTTTACAATCCATTTGAATTGACTTCACGTAAGTAAAGTTTATTTAACCATAAAATGAAACATGTACATACAAATGAGTAACATACTAAACATAATACAGTAAAGGACACCCTTAAAAGCAGATTGCTTGTGGTGGGGCCTTAAAAAGAAAAAAAAAACTACACATAAATTATACAGTTTAAAAACGTTTAAAGTTTAAAGATTTTTGTCTTTCTTTTCAAGAGTTACTCTATGCATTAAGCTCTTTCTTCAGCAATATATTCATTCAATTCCAAGTCAGTTTTGCATTTTGAGGATAAGATGAGGATAAGATGTGAATCACAACAATTGTATCATTTAACGTAGGTAAACGTCATTCACCCCCTTTGGAGCAATGCACTAAACTTTTGAAGTTATGAATCTTCGTTAATTTTAAGATAACTGAACTGTAGGAAGTTTGTGGGTTCATAATTATTCTCCCTCAGAAAAATGACCTTTTTTAATATGAGTACCCCAGCCCACGCCACAAATGGGTTGACAAATAGCCAGTATTTTTACTAGCGGGATCTTATTTCGGAGACTTTTTGGACATTTTGGACATATTTTGGATATATTTAGCGGTTGCTTCTCTGATGTCAGACTAATTTAAGCTTTTCCTTATTCCAGGGACACCATCTATATCTGAAACAGTTACTTACATCTATTTTGTGACACTTTTTAGCGCAGTCTGCTTCATTTCTTACAATCTTCAAGTTTATGACTGTAGTCCTACTGCACCGTTTTCGTGTCTACTACTACTACTAGTAAGTCTGTTTACATTCGTTTCACTGCATTCACTTGCCACACCCACGACGCGCCTTGGTTATTACGTAACTACAATAAAACATCTGTTCTGTAGCGATTCTCGGTATCTCAGAACCGCCGTTACCATAACGACTACACTGCCGACAACTCGCAAGGAGTCGGCTTCTCAAGCTGTATCTGTATCCGAACTAGTTATAGAACTCTTCAAAAACGAATCATTTTTAAATGAAATTCGTGATCTTGCGAAAACCATCGCTCGTGAAATGGCAGACACACCTTCACTAAACTCAACCAACTGATCGAGCAAAATGAAGGCAGGCTACATGATATAGAAATAAAGTTGGAAGAGAAAAATCGACGAGTGGAAGACCTAGAAAGAGAGATAGAAAGAAAGGAAGATAGAATAGTGAAGCTAGAGTACGCTGCTAACGATCTCCAACAATATTCCAGGCGATCATCTCTTCGAATCTTTGGTGTCACGGAGACACCAAACGAGACTACAGATCAGATCGTCTGCAAAATTGCCGCGGATCAGCTTAGAATTGCCCTGTCGCCAGGTGACATCGACCGATCACATCGCGTCGGGAAGCCTGGCGGCAGGCATCATCGCGCCATCATCGTCAAGTTTTGCTCTTATCGCAAGCGAACCGAAATCATCCAAGCACGTCGATCATTGAAAAATACTGGAATTACGATTCAAGAGGATCTCACACAACACAATGCTCAACTGTATGCAAGAACCTACAAACACCAGAAGGTGTTAGCTGCATGGACTCGTGATGGTATGATTATTGCCTCAATTCAATGGTGGAAAATCGACCTCTAAAGTTATACGTTCAGATATCGACCTCGAAAACCTTTGATAGTTATGTCACGTTAGCGATATTGTGAACGATCGAGCTGACATTTTAATGACTTATATTTCTCCCTGGAGTGAGAAGTTTTTTACATTTTATCTTTTTGGATTTTTCTAATACTCGAACTTTTAAATGTAAAATACCTTTTGTATTTCTAATTTGTTTATTTGTATACTGCTTGTATGCCTGGAAGCACTGTAAATTCAATTATTAATGATCAATCGTTTGTGGAATTCTTAAGCCCGAGAAAGACCAGACACAGTGGCGGATCCAGGAATTTCCAATAGGGGAGGGGGGGGGCCGAAATGTGAAAATCGCGCCGACCGATATCTCGCTCAGGGGGGTAGTGAGCACTAAAAAAATAACAATTAAGTTTGCCCCCAAAATTCGATGTAAATCGATTCGCTCAGTAGGGGGGGGGGGGGGGGGAGGGGGAACATTCATTTTTTAAATACCCCCCTCCCCCCCCCCCCTCTTAGCCAAAAAAAAAGCTCTCACATTAACTCTATTTTTGGGCGGGGGGTCCCATTTTCATTTTTTGCTTTAAAAAGGTAAAATTATCGTTACCATCTTTTTTTAAACCTGTTTTTGGGCCAGGGGGCCGACCCCCCCCCCCCCCCTCGTGGATCCGCCCCGCGCAGTAGTCATACTTTGCAATTTTATTCCTTTTTCATTCATCATCAACAATAATAGAAACTGATTTCAAGTGTTTAGTTTTGGTTATACACGTTTATCTATATATAGTCTGTTTTGACTATACTTGTCGTAGGCACTTGATGCCAACAAGGAAGTTCTTTACACAAAATCATCACGTGAACTGTATACAAATTGTTGGGAACGAAAAGGGGAACAAAAAGCGGATACAATACATCGGTTCGTGAACACGTCAGTGTGCAATCATCGTCAGCGGATAAAATACAGTACACTGGAATCATGTTTTGATCGAGCTGAGGCTGTTGAAAATATATCTCCAATATGTGGAAGGAAAGTCTGTTAGTAGTTCTAAGTCTAGTCGCGTTCAAAGAGATCTGTGATGGAGTACATATCATTGAAGGCCTTCAGAATGACCACGTTCATAATCACTGGAAGGTAAGTATTATTGACGAGCATATCGTGTGGAAATTCTATCAGCATTCAAGTTACGCTGAAATAATTAAATTATTACATATACTTCCTTATTCGCGTCAGGTTGGTACATGGATACACGATTGGCCTGTAATTACCATCGTGATGACATCATACGATTTTGTTACCCTTCAATAATCTTGTTTCTAATAGTTTCCTTGCTTGACCAATAAGGGCACAGAGCATAAGTAGAGCAAAGGTGGTGGAGGGCTACCGGGTGTTGCAGCCCCCCCCCCCCCTTTCCCGGCACCCCGAGAATTTTGGAATTAACCAATATTCAGTTACCAGGCACAATCTCAATTTGGAGTTGTCATGTGATCCAGTGGTATATTTCGGCGCTCAGAGCAAGAAATGAGATTGGCCCAAATTTATCTATAATACTATAAAAGTGAGCGAAGGGAGTGAGAACGCAAAGGCACCTTCATTGTTAGTACAGATATTACTTCGTCATTAAAATACACGATTGATGCTCGACAATTAGAACTCTGTCGAAAATCTTAGGGGGAGCTCCCACCCCCCCCCCCCCCCCCCCCTAAGCCTCATATACGCCAACGACTGCAACGGGGCGACGGAGTTGTCACAATGTGCAGACCATTCAGAAACCTCATTAATTAAAAAAATGACATGGAATCGCTTTCTATACAGTCGAACAATATCTCTACTCATATCACTCACATAAGCCTGTGTTCGCTCAGTTTAACGATGGTAGGCAGCACCATTAGGTGACATGCATATAGGCATCTCGCGGATATAGTCTTAAACAACATGTTAAAAGTCTCAAGAAATTCAAGTATGGGGAAATGTATGACATGTGCATAATATGCGGTTTCAATATGATCTTCTGTTGCAATCGGAGACAGAAATTTGTATATTATGCAAATCAAGAAAATTCTACATGTACTATTGGTATAATAGTTTCAATTTGTGCATTATACAAACGAAACAATAGTTGTATTAATACTTAAACCATTTTAATCAGATACCTGGCTATATCTTTATGTATGGAAAGTCAATATTTTCCCTTAAGGGCATATAGGCACAATTGCCTACAATAAAAAATATAACAAATTTCCTTATGGTGGTCATTTAGAAGCATATTTTGCTAACTAAATTCAGGATATTAGTTTCAGAATGTGTGCATCACGTTAATTTGGAAACCTACGTGCACTTTTATGTGGAAAATAGGACTTATCCCCCTGAATGTTCCCTAAGGTTACATCTAATTTGCAAAATATGCAAATTAGATGTATGATTGATCTGGAAATATGATAATCATCTATAATTACCCCGAACATATCAGTCTAAACACCTAGTTGTTGTTTTTCTTCATCCTATACCATTTCAATTTCCCTTCAATTTTCTATTTTAATCATACTAATTTGCATAATATTCAAAGTATGCCATTTCTAGTTATAATATCAATCTAAAAAATAAATGTGTTTATCGTGTTCAATGATCCTGATAATCTTGGTTTCAATCATGTCAATCGGGTACCTGGATGCAATTTATGTTGCAAATTCTGTTTCCTTTACTTATCAACTATTTTCCTTCGAGACCGCTTAGAGGAATTTGCAATTTGTGGTGTAGAAATATCTTAGTAATATTATTATTATTATCATCATCATTAGCAAAAAAATTATAGTGATATTGTGTATTTTGTCATATAACAGCTAATTTGCATTTCATGCAAACTTCATAAATTCCCCATACTTGGAATTTTAGAAACTTTTGATATATGTTGTTTATGGAAGCTTACTGAAATGTATAGCAGTGGAATAAATCCGTTTGCAATTACTAGTGTGTTACCCCCTAAATATCGCTAGATTGACTGGACTAATAGGGGATTTCCCTTTCCTGGGATTTCCCTTTTCTTGGTGATTCCTGTATTATAGCCTATCCTCTATGGGGATGAGAGAACCAAGAAGTCAATGGGACTAAACTGTAGCTAACACCAGTGATCTTTATAAATATCGCTAGATCGACTGGACTAATAGGGGAATTTCCCTTTCCTGGGGATTTCCATTTCCTGGGTGATTCCTTTATTCCTATGCCCTATGGGGATGAGAGAACCAGGAAGTCAATGTGGCTAAACTGTAGCTAACACCAGTGATCTATATAATAATGAAGTGGCCATATATACCGCGTGTAGATACATCTTCTTGCGTCATCCATTTTGAAAACAAATTGTTGATTAAGGTGTCCGATCGAGAAGTTTCATCATTTCGTTAACGTGAATCATTTTTGTGGTTTTGCAACAGAATATTGACGAAGGAGGATCGATGAATTCAGTTGATGGTAAGTTGTTTAACAATACCCTACACTTTCACTAACTGTATTTTAATGAAAGAAAGATTGCACGCATTAACCGTTTTACCTTTCCATTCTCAATATTAAAGATATAGACAGGTAGTGGTAAAAATTGCGGTTCGAGGGGTTTCGGGTGAAAAATATCCCTTTAATATTGTTTAAATATTGCCTTCAAAGGTTTAGATGGCATATCTTCAACTTAAATTCGCAAAAAAAAACACAGAAATGTATGCCCAAGTGTTCAATGTTGAAGTGCATTCGCGATATCAATCCAGGCCGAATCGATATGATAATTTACCAAATATATCAATTAGTAGGCGGTATCCCGGCAGTTTATCATCACGTATTAGTCAAAACATATTCTTTCACATGATTGGTAATAAGAGCATCCATTTCATTTTTGAGAGGGGGGGGGGGGGAGGGCCGTTTCCAAAACTGGTCTATACCTTTAAGCTAAAAACAACACTCTATTAGTATTACTTTGCTTGTGGAAATTCATTTGTTCACTTCTTATACGATGCTACCTAGCGTATTCTGACACCTACCCCCTGGACATCCACCCCCGGATAACCACCCCTAGGAAAACCACCCTCTAGAACAACTACCCGCTAGGACAACTAACCCCTAGGGCAAACACCCTCTAGGACGACTACCCCCTAGGATAGTTGTCCAGGGGTAGTTGTCCTAGAGGATGGTTGTCTAGGGGGTAGTTGTCTAGGGGTAGTTGTCCTAGGGGTAGTTGTCAGGGGGTTGTTGTCCTACGGGGTTGTCGTCCTCGAGGGTGGTTTCCCTAGGAGGTAGTTGTCCTAGAGGGTGGTTATCCTAGGGGTGGTTATCCTAGGGTAGTTGTCCTACGGGGTTGTCGTCCTAGAGGGTGGTTGCCCTATAGGAGGAAGTTGTCTTAGGGGGTAGTTGTCCTAGAGGGTGGTTATCCTAGGGGTGGTTATCCTAGGGGTAGTTATTCTAGGGGTTTTCCTCCTAGATGATCGTTGCCCTAGGGGGTAGTTGTCCTAGGGGGTAGTTGTCGTAGAGGGTGGTTATCCTAGGGGCAGTTGTACTAGGGTTTTTTCGTCCTAGAGGATGGTTGCCCTAGGGGGTAGTTGTCCTAGAAAGACGTGCTAGAAAGGGAATGTCAGACTTTCATTTTATTTTTCATTTTTGTAATCCACTGGAAGCTATGTTGTCTAGTAGTCCACGGGTCTAGTACAAGTAAACGCGACCCATTTTATCATTTGAAAGGACTTATACCCCAACAGTTTATTATATCCTTGATTCTTTCAAGGGACAAGACCTGTTTCGTTCCATTTAAAAAAAGGCATTTTTAATTTCTGGGGCGGTATCCTGAACCTGTCCCTTTTATTTTCCAGCTAAAGCGTGTCCAACGATCGTTACCCGTGCGGACTGGAAGGCAAGAACTCCTAGGGATCGATATAACATGACAACCCCCGTTCCCTTTGTAGTACTGCACCATACTGATATGGCAGAATGCTTCACCTATGATGACTGCTGTAAGATGATGCGATACATACAGGTAAGCGTTTGTTATTCCCCCCCCCCCCGCCTTCCTCCTCCTCTCTTCCGTCTCTACCTATCTCTCTCTCTCTCTCTCTGTATCTCTGTCTCCAAAACTAATCTCAAACTGACCGATTCTTCGCAATTTGTGAGATTGTAATGTCTTGTTTGATCTGTTGTCGTTCTGGTTTCGGTCTCATTGGTGTGTTCGAGGTATTAACCTCTGATGTATGTTTTACAGAATCTTCTTTTCTTTATCGATCTCAAGGATTTTCACATGGATTTCAGGGAATGGGACGACATCGCCTATTCTTTCCTGGTCGGTGAAGACGGCTTGGTGTACGAGGGTCGAGGATGGGACACTGTGGGAAGCCATGCTCCTTGGTATAACTTCAGGTCCTTAGGTACTCTCTTAGAGATCTCTTTTATATTCATACGTTTCTTGGTTTTCAAACTTATGGCTGTGTTCTTTATGTACTTTCTTAGGGCTATCCGGCTACAGTGAGAAAAGTAAAAGAAATTTATTATCCATTATCGTTAATATAATTATGTAAGCCTACCTTTATTTTGCTGTTAGGCAAGTAATGAAACAATTTGTAACATTCATCCATTTAGTTGCAAATGTTATCCTGACATAGTTCTTCACTCATCGTCATGACCATAGAGCTAATAGGTCCCTGCCTAAAGTGCCCCTCACTCCATTTGATATATCATTCTTAATCTTTTGGTTTACATGAGGATTTTTAAGATAATATGATTTAGAAAAGTTGTGTTATTTCCACTGAACAAAACAAATTACAAGTGCTAAATTGATGAAATTAATACTAGTTCATAACATCAGAACATCTTCCTATCCTAAATAGGGATGTCCAAAACATTCAAATAGAATATAATTATATCACTTTAACAGTGTGGGAAGTTAAATAATGCAATTATTATGTTCATGTTCCGGCATAACGCTTATGTGCTTGCTTTTTAAGGTGTGTCTATCATGGGGAACTTTACGACGAAACTTCCGAATCAGAGAGCTGTCGATGCCGTCAGTTCCATCATCAACTGCGCCATCACGAAGTGAGTTTCTCATTTCGACCAAGATTAGTCGTTTGATTCAAATTGAACTGAATTCCATTTTAGTAACAGACAAGAATTATATGAAACTCTTTATTCATTTTCAAATTATATAAACCTCGTTACAATTATCTGTAATGTTATTATTAGAATTATGTATTATTATTGCTGTATCTTTATTTTACGTTGTACCTTGCTATGTTAAGCGCTTAGAAACATTGTATTGAGCGCTTTATAAATGTAATTTATTATTATTATTATTGTAATTATCGTAATGGCACTCAGTTAGTTTGATTTGAACTTTTTAGAGTGCGTAGTTCTTTAAATTATGACGATTTAAGACCTTGAATAATATACAAGTCATGTACATTTCAATCAACTCTGACTTTGTTCATGTTTTCTTTACATCTCTTTCTTGTGCGTACGTCTTCAGCAAGAAACTTGACCCTGACTACGTTCTCATCGGTCATCGTCAAGCCACTCCGAATAGGACTTGTCCTGGTGAAGCCCTCTACAAGGAGATCCAAACTTGGCCTCACTGGGTAAGGAAATAAAAACAGTCATACAGATAAACCCCTGCCTTTCTTAAAGATAAACTTGAGTTCTGGTAATGCGATTGCATTGTGAAAGAAAAGGTGTGGAATGGATCAGAAAAGTTGATCATATAGTATGTAAGTAATGATGTGTAATGCAAGGTTCTAGAGTCATCAAAATCATCATAAATTTGGCAGAGTCTTGGTAAAGTAACAATCACTTACACAGAAAGATGTATATGGGACAACACACATGGTGTCGGGGCTAGTACTACTCTGATTTCCTTATCTTTCTATGCTCATTACTCAGCCAGTATACATTTTCTTCCAAAATTGTTTGGCACATGACATTTATTTGTAATCTTGAACATTCAGTGTAAGTTTCGTTAGACTCTGTGAGAATTCATTTTCTTTTTTTACCTGAACTCAAGTTTATCTTTAAAGATAAAGTTGACTTCTGGGGGGTGTTTCACAAATCCTTTTTCCAATGACAAATTACAAAGACCAGTGACAAATCTGCTGTTTACCAATCAGAAGCAAGGATTTCAGTGGCTTATAACAGAAACGGTAATTTGTCACTGATGACACGTTTTATGAAACGGGACTCTGGTCATGTGCTTACACTGTGAAAGATACTTCCTGAAAGTAATTGGAAGAGGTTGATATGATTGTGGAATACATAGGTACAATGTGCAGTTTAGGAATAATCTAAGTGAAAGGAAATTGTACTGTTGGAGATCTCATAGACTGCACACAGAAATGGGTATCGTGACTACATACAGATGGTTGATCCAAAAGGTTCAGTTGTTTCTTGACGTATGTCCAATATGAGGGCATTGGAATAACCTGTTTTTATGAGTGATCAACAATAACTCTTTGGCAATATTCAATGATGCAAGCGCTAGGAAACAACTGTTGGTTTTTAAAAGCGCTATCTGGAAATACAAATAATTGTATTGTCTACTAATTATTTTTACATGATCCATTGACATTTTTTGTTTAAGTATTCTTATTACTTAAATATGTTTCAATATCAGTTTTCTGACTGTCATCACAATGCATGGTATGTTTCTTTTCTCTTGTCTGCAGAAACCGGGAGACCATTTTCCACCGAAGCACTGAAAGAGGACTCCGTTTTAGCTACTCTCAGCTTAGCTAGGGGCGTGATCAGGCCTGGAAATGATGTATATACTGCGCAGTAAGGAGTCGATGTAAAACCAAAGCCGATATGTCTCGATCCCTTTCAGGGACAGGGCTAAATTTATCATATGTTGCACTTAAAATTAGCAACGATGATATTTTTCGTTTAATGCTGCATTGTTCTAGTAAAAATATAATATCGCTAAAAACAATAATCATGGGTATCGCCATTTTCAACAAATTGAAGGAGGAAAAAAAAGCAAATGAAAAAACAATGACTTTGAAGCTCTCTATTTGTTGCCAACTTAAAAGTTGAAAAGCTTATTTTTCTTAGAAAAATTCTTGGTATCAAATTTAATATGGTCATGAAAAACATTCAATGTGTGGGTAAATTGTTATATTTTCTACTCATGCATTTATGTATGTTTAGGGTTCTGAATCAGAAGTTAAAGAACCACTGTACACAGATGTTAAGTAATACAAAATGCTCAGTAGTAAACGACTGCTTGTTAAAGGGCAATCCAACCCATACAGACAACTATTCTAAAAGAAGGCAGACAAATTAGAGAAGCAAACTGATGAAAGTTTCAATTAAATTTGACTAAATATAAGAAATTTATGATTTTTTTAAATGTATAATCACTATACGTATGGGCACTTCAAATTGGACTACTTTCCCATCTGTTCCAGCATATAAAATGACTAAAATTTAAATTTTTCAAATCATGGCTCAGGAGGGTCTTCTTCTTTAGAGGACTCATAATGATATGCCATCTATAATATATTTTTAGTAGTTCCCCGAGAGAGAAGGAACTTACCAGAAAAAACATAAATATATGATATTTTTGTACTCAGCAAATGGGAGAGTTATCCACGTCCTACGTCACAATCCACTGACCAAACTACCAATTTGTGATTTGCATAGACTTAGTGATCTCATATTTCAAACGTTCATAACTTTCTTACTATTGATCCGTTTCATTTCAAACTTTTCTGCTTTCATACAAATCAACTTATTACAAGGGTTGGATTACCCTTTAAGCTAAATACCAGGCAATATTTCTTGGTGGATGTATTTTAGTATAGAAAAAGTCAATTACCAGAATATATGTCATATGTCATTTAAATTCAATAAATTTTAAGCCGTAATCATACTTTGCAATTTGATTCCTTTTTGCGTTCATCATCAACAATTAGAGATTGATTAGTTTTGATTATACCCGTGGATCAATGGCCCGTTAGAGGCACTTGTTGCCAGAACGAAACATTAGATTTTAAAAGGAAGTACTTCACACAAAATTGATTGTTCGATACGAAACAAAGAACAAAAAGGGAAAAATGAAAAGACAATGCATCCCGAGGCGGCGCTCCGGGGAGGGGGGGGGGGAGGGGGTTCTTTGTCCCCAACTTGTTCAATTACATTCCAATGTGCCCCTTTCTACATAGGACATGTAACCCTTTTCCTTTGTACGAATTGCCCCTTTCCCTTCTAATAAGTGACCCTTTTCCTTTTGATAAGTGTATCCTCCCCCACCTCCCATTCTTTCCATAAGATCCCCTCACTTTCTCATAAGGGATCCTTTCTACCTCTGATAAGTGCCTCTTTTCCTTTGCAACAAGAATCCCTTTTCCATTCTCACAAGTGCCCCTTTTCATCTCTGGTAAGGGCTCCTATTCAAATCTGACAGGTTCACGCATTAAAGTGCCCCTTTTCCTTCTCATAAATGCCCCCTTTCCACCTATACCCCCACCCCAATAATTGCCACTATCAATATCTTACAGGTGCCCCTTTTCCATTCCCTTAAGTGCCCTTTTTCATCTCTGGTGAGTGCCTCTTTTCAGGTGAGAAAAATTCCCCTTTACACCTCTGATATTTTTACCCTTGTTTACTTTGACTGGTGCCCCTTATCCCTTTTTGTAAGTGAAATTGTTCTTAAATCTTTCCATTCTACATGACTTTTGTATAAGTAATTCTATATTTCCTGGTCAAAAATGTTTCCTGTATAAGAAGGCAATATAGCATCCTTGGTTTTTCAGCAAAACAAAAATATCTCACTCCTTTTAGTTTTGTTTCGAATTCCCCTTACATTGCATTAAGGGTATTGAAGTGAATCTTGGAATCAAACTTTATTAATCAATTTTAACTTCATGGTATGTTTCAAACAAAATAAAATAATTTTCTGTCGATAGTTACCGCATTTTTTTCCTTCTTTTGATGATTTGTTTCTTGTCGATCTCGCTTTCACGCTCGTCCGAGTCAGTAACATGTTCATCGGACAAACGCTCGTTCGCTACCGCGGTTTCCTGCGACGATGCGTTTGAACCGCTTGTCGATGATCTAGTTGCCCTATGAACATTTTTCCCTCCATCTCTGGAGTGTTGTTTCCCTTAGCAACGTTCTGTGCGTCGTTGGCAACGAAGTATATCAAACTGGTTTTTGGCGTCTGGTCGCGTGCTTTGCTGGTAGCTATCTAATCGCGTGATTCAGCATTTTCTGGCTAAGACGATTCAGTGTTGTCATGTTCATCATTTGAAGACACTCAGCGATCGCGTTGATCATGTTGAACCGGCGCATATGATTGTGCTACCGAGTAGGTGTTACGTAAATCTGCATAGCTGGGCACTCACTTTGAATGTGCCCGCATTTTTTGTATAGCCTATACATGGCACTTCCCCCATTGCATGCCGACGCGCCCTGTTCCTAGGCATGTAGAGCATGTTGTAGACTGTGGTTGGCCAACATGATAGATGCGTGCTACGAAAGTATTCGCGAAGACGAACTTTCGAGGTAGTGGTTGTGATTGTGAACGAATGTAGATCACTCGGTTGCCGTTGAGGCATTTCGTATATTGACCGTTCAATCGTCGCACTTTCGTTCTTTTCACTTCATATTTGTCTCCGTCCAAGGCTCTGATATGATGACTTTATCGCTTAGAGAAAGAGGAACATTTTTTATCTTTAGTCTGGCCAGATTTTCATCCTTTTCTCGGGTGAAGGGGTTTACGTTGACTGGGGCTGTGGCGACTCGAAGAACCGAGCCATCGGTTATCAAGCGAACGCGATCTTCATGGCGGCTCAGATAGATCCGCCAAAGATTGCAAATTTGCTGATTTTCAACGATGTAATCCATTGAAATCATGCTTGTAACAAGAATGTACAATTTCTCATCCGTTAGGGGCTTGCTATCTATGTTACAAAAATCGTTATCCGAAGGAAAACCGGCTTGGGTCCGAAAGGAAAGGTTTGCTCCAGGGCGTGGCACCACCTTCGTTGCATATATGGCAATTCAGTTCACCAAATTAAATTACCGGAATACAAGAAATATGAACGTTGAAAGTGATCTCCAAATCCATATGTCAATCACTTTACAATTACCAATTCTCCCGCTTCTGCAGTCAGATGACAATAACTTCTCGAGATATTTCACAATTTTGTTCGTAAATAATGAGAGCACAAAATGAACGCCCTCTTCGGTTGCATGCGCATGCATGACATACAACAACTTTGAACGGAGACGGTCGCTTTCTCTAAAAGCTCCTAATTGGCGTGTATTATATAGAATTTTGGCGGGAATTTCGAACCAGCCGCACCCCTCTGAACTCGACGGCAGCTGAGTCAATCCTGTACCGTGTCCAGCCCATCGGACTATACGAGCTTTCGCCGTAGCAATCTCGTTGTTGGATCACATCTTCACGTTTTAACTCGTTCGTCACTGTAGTCAAGGCAAAGGTCTAGGAGGTGACCCTAAGTGGCAATCCTGTGGTGATTTATTGCACTCATTTTCATCCCTCCATTCACGTAAGATTAACAACTTAAATAACACAGCCTTGAAAGGTAAGAATTTTCACTTATCCTACTAATCTTAATTATGCGCGTTTGAAAATTGAATGGCGTCGATTTCTCTCTCCTCTTTATCTTCGGGGGAAGAGAATTATATGACGGCCGTTGCTGAGAAATACCGGGACGATGTACATGATTTAGGTGAAGGTATATCTTCTGACGGTACTACGGTCCCGGAAGATAGTGACATTGCAGATTGTTCATGGAAAACGGCAGTACGCAAAAAATCGAAAAAGAGGCCAAGGGTTAGAAGCAATAGTGATGGAGTGTTACATGAAAAGAATAACAAAATACCCAAATTCTCCCGCTCGACACCAACTCATTCTGAGGGTAATTTAAAAGTAGTTATTGTTGGATTGGAGAATAAGAATGTGTGCAGAGCCAACCCCGTGAAGGTTGTAAAACAAATTCATGATCTTGTAGGCAGAGTAAAAGATATGGTAAAAGAAAGAAACATGTTGATTGTGAGATGTGAGAGCGAAAACCAAATACCCAAACTGTTGGAATTAACCCAGTTGGCGGGCATTAATGTGAAAGTTACACGATACGATGGGAGCCAATCAACCACTAAAGGAGTTATTCACAAGATTGATCCCCAAATCAGTAACGAGGAAATAGAGGAAGTTTTGAAAGAACAGAATGTAGTGAACGCTAAAAGATTTATGAAGAAGATCAAAGGAGAAATGGTAGCAACCCCTTCCGTTCTCCTCACTTTCAAGGGTAAAAACTTACCCGAGTCCATACATTTTCTGTATGAGGTAAAGCAAGTGGATGACTATATCCCTCCTGTGCCGCGATGCCATAAATGTCAGTTATTCGGACACATTAGGCAAACTTGTAAAGGCAATATCCGATGTGTTAGATGCGGGGGAGAACATGAGTTCGAAGATTGCCCTAATAAGGAGAACCCTAAATGCCTCAGATGTGGTGAAAACCACTCTGCAGCTTACCAAGGTTGTAAATTTTATGCAGAGGCGAAGCAAATTCAAAAAATAAAATTACAGGAAAACCTCACTTATGCCCAAGCGGCCAAGGCCCATCGTGCACAGATACATGAAAATGCCGTTACTGACCATGGATAATCAGAAAGACATGGGTAGTGCAAATCTAAACAAACCTGCTAAAAAACATAACACAGAATCAAGGCCAAATAACCCTCAGCTAGAGAGCCAATCCGAATCCTCAGAGAGCCAATCCGAACCCTCAGGCCCATACCCCACACACAGTACGAGAAAGAAAGGGACAGGAAGAAAGGGACAGGGCAATACCCAGATCTCATTCCCAGATCCCAATTCCAGTACGAAAAACAAAGAAGGAAACTGCAACCCAAACTCCAGTAAATATGACATCTATTGATTTGATTATGTTTATTCTGTTTGTGGTACGACAGTTGCCTCAGTCCAGTAATGATGATAATTTCTTGGAAGCGGTAGTTAGAGCAGGCA